AAGGCCTGGATTAACGTGGGATCTCCGTAGGCTCGGCCAAAAATATTCCATATTCGAACGCGTATAAACGGGTTCAGGGTCAGTCAACCACCCCGAACGAGACTCTGCCCTTCGGCGGAGTCTCGTCCGTGTAAGCAAAGGCTGCCAATGAATATTCGGGAAAAAAACATGGCAGCCTTTATACACGTCACCTTAAATATTTTGAGCCTTCTGATTGGTTAACCCTTCTATTGGTGAACTATAAAATGAGTCAACTCATTTTGACTGGCTCACTAGTACACCAGGGTACCCGAAAATTCCAACAGTTGTTTATCTTCCGTGATATATGTATATGTTGCAGACCCAACAACAAAGTAAGGAAGTTTTATATCTCAGGAAGCATTGATGCTGGGAACATGAGATTTTTCCTTGTTATATTTTTGTTAATAGAGACAAATTGGCAGCATAATTTTATTCACAGTGACTTTTTTTTTTTTGTCAGTCTGGTTAGTAAAATATAGGGTTATTCAAAGAAAACTTGACGGTCTTGTGAATGACTGTCTAGAGAATGAAAACACTTACATAGAAATAACTTATCAAGCAACCGACTAAGCAACTTGACGCTTGAATGTCCTGTTTTGCTAAGCAAACTGATGGCCCAGGCTAACCATTGACGTGCTTAAAAATGTGTTTAGTTTTTTACATCTTTTTTGTGTCCACCAGAAATGTACACATTTGAATAAAAAACAGAAAATCATATAATTTGAACACTTTAAATCAAACACTATCGCCAAAAGAGTAGGCCTAGAAAATAGCACTCTATCAAAAAAAGGTATGTAAATATGAAATATTACACAGACGAATATTGAAATGTTCCCAACTCCACCACCACAAATCGCAAACATAACAATGTAAAAAGTGTGATATAACTCAATGGTTCAAATAAATTAGCATCATCTTCTTATTAGTCCTCTTCTTGGAGAACCAGACAATTGGTGCCACTACAATCAATGCGTGCTGTTAGACACACGAGAACATGTTTCCGGCAAGAGCAAACATTTGAAAATGAAGTCTGAGGATCAAGAGAAAAATAAAATCTCTGGTGAAATAAATTATAACTAATAAAACCTTAAACTAGTCTGTTTTTTCTTTAAATTAAATTATTCACTCTGACTTAATATTGAGCTCTCCGGATTTAATCCTACTTGAACGCTTTATTTCGTCCACTGGAGTAGAGTGTTCTAGTTCCACGTGCCATGCTTCTTCCGGATATCTCTGTTACTTCCCTTTAACTAAAAAATTTCTATAACAGTAACAAAAATTGCAATATGAGCATTGGTAAAAGATGTTTGCTGAGACTTTAGTTTTATAAGTTTCGAAACGCACATGTCGTCAAGGACGCATGGCTCAGTGGATAAAGACGTGGACGAAATAAAGGGTTCAGTTCGAAATTCTAATCACCTGAAGAAATCCGGAGCGTACAACGACCGAAACCTTGTGAATATGGCAATGAGGATAGCAGCCTAAACAATGCAAGTAAGAAATGGCTTGTTAATTGTACGCCTCCAAATCTGCTTTCTATTCATTATATGAGATACATCTTTTTGCCTCCCATCAGCCATGCTAATGGGTGGCAAAAAGATGTGACTCACTGCGCCTTCTCTAGCTAACATTCTATGCTGACATGCAGTGGAAAGATTATATTGAATCAAATGTTAAGTCTGCAGTTATGAAAGTTGTTTCCCTGTGTTGGACTAAATAATTATTCTTGCCAGAATCAATCTTATATATTTGTAAATCTACCATTTGTCCATGCTTCTAATATAGTTGTCCCGACTGGTCTGGTGCTCCTGTTATATATTTAGATATTCTTCATAAAATCCAAAGAAGAATCTGCAAAGTTATTGGTCCTAACCTGGCATCCACGCTTCAGTCCCTTACCCACCGTCGTAAATTAGCGTCCCTGTGCTTTTCCCATAAACATTTTCACAGTAATTGCTTGGGTGAGTTTTGCTTTATGGTATCTAGACTTTATGAATTTAAGCGCAGTACTAGATTGGCAGCTAGGTCTCATCGTTTTACAGTTGAAATGGTTAGATTAACACTAGTTTTAATATGTTGGTTCTTTTCTAAAGTTTTCTTTAACTCTTTGTTTTGAACACATAACTTCATTTTTCTCTCTTTCCTTCCTTCCTTCCTTCCTTCCTTGTTCTTCTGCATGCCATCCTTGTGTTTTCGTCTTGCTTTCTTTTGCCAATCGTTTTATATTCCTTTCTTCCTGACCTGTTTTCACTTCGTATGATTTCGTCGTATACATTACCTATTTTTGACACTTATTAAACTTTACTTCATTTTCTTTTTTTCTTCTTTTTTTTTCTTCTGGCTCTTTTTCTCCTTCTTCTTTTCGTCTTCTTATCAACCTTCTTCTTCTTCTTCTTCTTCTTCTTCTTTCTCCCACTCCTCATTCTTCTTCTCCTCCGCCTTCTCATTCTTCTTCTTCTTTATTTATTTATTTCACCCTTTCTTTCTTTCTTTCTTTTTTTTTCTTTCTTTCTTTCTTTCATTCTTTTTTCATTTCACCATTTCTTTCTTCTTTCCATTCTTACTTTCTTCCTTTCATTTTTTCTTTCTTTCTTTCATCATTTCTTTTTTCTTTTCATTTTTCTTTCTTTCTTTCATTCTTTCTTTCTTTCTTTTTATCCTTTCTTTCTTTCATCCTTTCTTTCGTCCTTTCTTCTTTTCTTTCTTTCTATATTTCATTTGGAGTTTGTAGATCCCAGTTTTTCTCTTGGCACTCTATTTTTAAATTTATAAAGCCTGATCAAATAGTAACGGTCGGGCGGGTCTTTTTAATTCTAAAGTATTAATTTTTATTTTTATTTTTTTATTTTACAATATAAGCTGGACAGTTAGAAACTAACCTTATTGATAGTGGCCCACTAATATAAATTAATTACATGACATATTTTCTCAAACCTTAGGAAAAGGCAATATCGATTGCTTCCCATTCACAGATTTAGACACTACAGCTTCCGGATACGTTTAAAATCCACACACTTCCAATTTGTATTTCCACGTCCTTATGTTTTTAAGCTAGTGAAATCTTTTGTCGGGATGTTTTCATCAGACAGGATGACATTGTCTTTGTAGTAGCACGTCACTTTCATAAGTTTTTTTTTTTTCATAAATAGATCTATTGGCTTATATAATGCAGTCAATATAATGGTGAAATCTATGTAACAATCACTGCAACTTAGCATATTCTATCAATGATGATGGTTATAATGTTGGCTTATCTTCCAATGCAGGTTTTTCCCAAAGCTATCAGGCTTATATCTAAATTCATTTGGGCTTAGCGTAGATATTAGATGGTCAATGGTTTCGTTACCATTTGAAGAAAAGCAACTTTTTGGATCTTTCTTAGTTGGTAGTTTTTGATTTTGAGCGGCCAGGATATATTCCTCTGTTTCTGGTTTTAAATCAGAGCTCCGGAATATGTGATGTATCATATTTTGGCAATATCAGGGTCTGGTATTTGCGATCTGTTTTGAAACTAGAAGGTTTGTCAAACTTGGACCTTCACACTCGAATAAAAAGGGATTGTCAAAAGGACAGTTTTTCCCTTGACACCGTTATTATTTATTATTATTATTTTCCCTTCACACTTTGACCCGTGTCCAAGAATATATTTTCTTCTTTTATATTTTTATGATGATGATGTTGGTGATTATAACCTGGTGAAAATTAATTGAAAGAAAACGAATAATTCCGTTATTATTTACTTTTTTTTCGTATTTTCCCTATGAAACATGACCCAGTGCACATGTTAGTAATTCGTATGTCGACCCATGAAGTTGTTCCTTGAAAACTGACCACAGATTCTAGACTGGATTTAAATCAGGAGAGTTTCTCAGCCAAGCCAGTACTTTGATTTGTTCACAGGAAAGGTTTGCTAGTGTGTTCGTGCAGCGTTACAATTTTCGTACACTTGGTACAACGTCCATCGTAGACAATGACTGTAGGACAACTAATCAACAGTGAAGACAATAGTGTCTGCGCGTGGTAAACATCCTATGCAATCACCGATGTTTTTTGATATTTTTCAAGGCCAAACATATTTCATGATAGACCCTGAAAATAGATTAATATTACTGCAGATCACTGCAAACGACTTAATCTGAGAAAAAAATTAAAAATCGGTTATACCCTGTCACTCTAAAATTAACCGTATGCTAAAAGAAAGAAAATGAAAGCCACTGTCTCAATTAATTTGCACAAGGGTGTAAGGAAACCAATTTATGCATGAAAGAGTCGATGGCATTGACTGCATGGCAATGATGACTGAGGATAAGGTGGGTTTTGTTGAGCCTTTCTCTCTTGTCGTTTAAGTTTGTCCTTTTTTCTTCTGGTGGCTACGTAACTTTTGGTTCTGCTAGTGATGGAACATTTCCAATTGATACAGTCCTTTGCTGTGTTTTAAACGCTTTAGGGTCAGGTGCTGTTGCTTTCAGCGGTGTTTTGAGTTGGTCCTTGTATCTTCGAAGATGGGCAACAGAATGGTCTTTTTCCTGAAGAGGAAATACATTAGTCATATGAAGACACCATTGTCACTAATGTCTTACCATTATGTGGAAGGTATTTCTGAGGTATATATATATATGTGGGGTGTATTCCTGCCGAAGCTTCTAGAACAACAGCAAAAAGGGGGGAGAATTAAGCGAAATTGGTGGAAGAAAAACAACAAAAACTGAGAGAAGAAGAAGAAGAAGAAGAAGAAGAAGAAGAAGAAGAACAAGAACAACAACAACAACAACAACAAAAACAACAAAAGGAAAATTAAGCGAAACTGGTGGGGGGACAATAAGAACAAGAACAAGAACGAAACAATAACAGCAGCAACAGAAACAACAGAGGGAGAATTAAGTGAAAGAAGAAGAACAAAGACTGGGGGAGAGAGGGAGGGAAGAAGAAGAAGAAGAAGAAGAAGAAGAAGAAGAAGAAGAAGAGTAACAGAGGGAGGATTAAGCGAAAGTGGGGGAAAACAATAAGAACAAGAACAAGAAGAAGACAATAACAGCAGCATGAAAAACAGCAGAGGGAGAATTAAGTGAAAGAAGAAGAAAGACTGGGAAGAAGAAGAAGAAGAAGAAGAAGAAGAAGAAGAAGAAGAAGAAGAAGAAGAAGAAGAAGACAAAAACAACAGAGGGAGAATTAAACAAAACTGGTGGAAGAAGGACAACAAAAACTGAGGGATGGAGGGAGGGAAGAAGATGAAGAAGAAGAATAAGGAGGGGGAGGGAGAGGAGGAAAAAACAACAGCAAGAACAGAGGGCAAGTGGAAGAATAACATCACCAACAACTCAGGAAGTGAGGGAAAGAAGGCAGGGAGGAATAATAATAATAATAATAATAATAATAATAATTACGAGAAAAGTAAAAGAAACAGTTTTCATTTGTTTTGTTTCCTGTTCCATCAACAAATATAAGATAAAATAATAAATTTACCGACTTTTAATACACAGTAATTTATCAAACTTGCCAGAATATTAAATGCCATTTTTTGAATGAAAGTAAATGTGTCTTTTACAATGAGTATAGAGAGTCTCATTCTGTTCACTTTGGAAGAATACAGTCAGATCGTTCGTCCAAAAGCACCAAGCAAAAATTTTGTCAAGACCCCCGTGTTGTGAAACCGCAGTGAGACGACGAAGAATTTTTTCACTGCTGTCTTTGCAACTCTGTTGCTGCTGCGAAGGTGTATTTGTTGCTCTTGCATCGTTTGCGTTGGAATCAGAATAGTCGGAAATTCGGTTAATTCTGTTTAGTTTTCGCTGGGACACAAGGGTGTGTACTTCGAGTGCCGTAGGTGGGTCAGGCGAAAAAAAAGAAAAGACGTCGCAGAAGTTGGGGAAGTGGAAAGAAGCGACGAGAAATAAATGTTGTCCGTCATAGCGAATAGGTACGTGTTTGTGATGAAAGGTAAAAGCAGGTACACGATGTAGACAATGAAGGATTTGACGTATGTAGTTTTTGTGTGTGCGGGCGGGGTGAAACACAAAGATCATGTGTCATATATGCGTTTATCGGCTTTAAAATATACCTATACGTGTCCATTTATAGATAAATGCATTTTTGTCGGTGTTTTTTTTTTTAGAATTCATATTAGAATGTACATATGTGTGTATATATATATATATATATATATATATATATATATATATATATATATATATTGATTTAAAATTTTTTTCGCTACACAAAATTGAAAGCTAAAAGCTTCGAATTTTATTTTGTAATTAAATTAAAGACATTAGGCTTGAAGATGAGATGGAACAAATGTCTTTAATTTAATTACAAAATTAAATTCGAAGGTTTTAGCTTCCATTTTTGAAACATGGTTAGAACTGTGTAGCGAAAAAAACATATTTTAAATCAATTAATTTATAATATTAATGCTCTGTAAATTTACATTGAGCACTATTTTGTAAAAATAAAAATATCAATAAGAACACCGGATTATGTATCTTACTGTTCTTTCTTTCTTTTTTATATATATATATATATATATATATATATGTGTGTGTGTGTGTGTGTGTGTGTGTGTGTGTGTGTGTGTCTGTTAAATTTCCCAACGCCCTTTTTTATTGAAAACTAGAAAACTCAATAAGAATCAAAACCAATTTTGATTTAATTGAAAAAAAAATAGCAGAAACATACATAATATACAATACGTACACATGCACATACATCTATATAATAAATGCAAAAATCAGTGTGCCACTGTATCACACTTTTTCAATTAAAGGGACACAACTCTCTAACTTGCAAAAGCTCATGTTACAGAAATTTTGGATTCCAAAGTCTTCATTACTGTGATTTTTTCGATTTTTTAAAGTAATTTTTTGCGGCATTTTTTTTTTTTTTGTATATTAATTTTCATAACTTGGAAATAAATTTAGGAATAATCGAAGTTAATTGCGTAATCCAGCGAAAGACACCATGAAATAAAAATAATTGTTTGCATGGAAAGTAAGAACCTACGTGCATCAGATTTTACTTTAAGCGGCGGCAGAAGAATTATCGTTGAACTTTTAAAAAGGTCAGCTTAAATATTAATGCAATACTTAAATGCAGCGATCAATTTTGTATTCTTCTGTAGTTTATTGTTACTGTACGGCAGCAGTATGCCTCGCAAAAAGAAATCTCCGCTAACACAGGATCAAATTGCAATCAAAAGTGCCAAGGCTGCAACGAGGAAAAGAAGGCCACGTGCAAATGAAAAAACAGGCCAAACTGGAGCCAGGAGAGCTGCCAGTGCTGAGAATATGCAAAGACTTAGGGACTCTCAAACTCCTGAACAACCCGAAGGACCAATCAAAAGCCCTTCTCAGCAAATAGATTAAATGCCACGCGATAGGGCGGCTTTTAAGCTAGTAATTATATATATTTGTGTGAAAGTATATATTATAATGAATATACATATATAGCCATTAGAATGTCTGGAATATATATATATATATATATATATATATATATATATATATATATATAAATTAGTACATATACGCGTACCTAAGTTTTTGGCGTGCGACTATAGTTTCGCAGGGTGGTGTTCCCAGTTCGTCAGACACAGGGTTTATCGTTAGATAGGTACGCGTATATGTACTAATTAATACGTATCTTTGCTCTGTATAACCGCATTGAACACTATTAGGTTTACACCTCATGCATAAATTTAACAATTATTTATTTGGTATCTATAAAATTTTGTGACTGCTCTTCAGTAGACATTGGAGAAACCTGCTGAAATTTATGAAAATATATCCAGAAACCCGAAAGGGATATTATACACAACAATTTATCAAATAAATTAGTTATACCCCCTTGTGCAAATTAATGGAAACAAATGCTTTAGTTTCCTTTCTTTCGCCATACGGTCAGTTTTAGACCCACTAGAGTGAAAGGGTGTAATCGATTTCTATTTTACCCTGAGGTGAGGTCATTTTCAGTGGCGTGCAGTAATATGAATTCGGGGTGTATTACTCCAAGGAACCGTACGAAAATTGTAACCCTGCACGAACATAAGCCTTGCCAGTTAGTAAATCAAAGTACTATCCACAGTGTCGGAAACTTTCCTGATTTAAATCCAATCGAGAATCTGGTCAATCTGCAAGGAACGACTTCGTGGATTGTATATGGTCATGTTTCAATGGAAAAATACGAAAAAGTAAATAATAACGGAATTATTCGTTTTGTTTCAATTAATTTGAACATGTGTGTAGATAGATAGATAGATAGATAGATAGATAGATAGATAGATAGATAGATAGATAATGAACAGACTGAGATAGATAGATAGATAGATAGATAGATAGATAGATAGATAGATAGATAGATAGATAGATAGATAGATATGGACAGACTGAGACAGATAGACTGGCACAAATTTGCACAAAGGTATACATGCAAATAAGTTAGACCACAACGTTGATCTAAATCTGTTATACGCAACTTCGTTTTACCCAGGGATCACATTTATTCTTGAGTGCTTTTTGGAGAACCCACATAACTATTCGATGAAAAAAAGTCTATTTTATTTTTTACTAATAGATAAGTTTAGGAATTGTATTTTAGAAATTGAATTATAGAAATTATAAAACCAATAGAGTCCTGTGTACAAGTGGTTTGTTTTTCGAAAGTTCTGCGATGGCTGATACGCGTGACGACAATCTTTGCGATGCCAAGTTCAGTTATTACGTCGAAGGTATCAGTTGATCTCGCTGTTTATCTGAAACTGTTTAGTAAAACAATCAGTCTTTCGGTAGTGACCTTTCCAAGACGCAGACCAGGGCGATGGTATATGGAAAACGTGCCCTGCCCAAACTATATGCCCACACCCCTCTCGGCCGTACCGTCAAGATTCAAATAAATACAGAGGATTAAATTTCTATAATACAATTCCTAAAACGTATATGCGTTATTTTGAAGTAAAACTAATTTATTGGCAATAAACTTGTATTTGACAAATAAATTCTATGGAACATATATATCCAGTAATAAAATAACTCATTATAAACCATTTTAAAATCGACCGCTGTTTTGACCACCGTAATGTTACATGAACCCCGATAATTCATATGGACCCCGGTTGATAACCACTGATCTAAAGCATACTACGCTTATTAAAATAGAAATTTGCTTACTTAGACGGAAAATTCTCGAGAATGCCGCTATCGAATCTTAACGTAATATATATCTACGAATGGGAGTTTTTTTCATTTATCTCAATTCCTGAAAGATTATTCCTATTGGGATTCAAAATGCTTATCTATAAAAATGTAAAAAAAAGAAAGAAGGAAAACGGTTAATTCTAACCTCTAGTTATATATATATATATATATATATATATATATATATATATATATATATGAAAAATGGCGTCGGTAATTTAAATGCCACTTTATATATAATTATCCGAATGAATGGCAATTTTTAACGTACATTTTAATAAATCCCGCACAAAATATGAGGAATCTTGACTGATCGCCAATCAAGGCTATACGAGCCAGTCCGTTTTTTTACTTTTCCATATGTATAGCACGTGTAGAGAATAAACTTTTTCACGGAGGTATTTTCAAGTAAGTGAATGTGACAACCTCGAGAGGAATTTGAACTCTGCTATCCGATTACTCATTCCGAACCGTTATCCATTTTATATTTATATATTTGATTATATATACACACACACACACATATATATATATATATATATATATATATATATATATATATATATATATATATATATATGCATGCGTTTGTGTAAGTAAATCAAGTTTATTGCTTGACACGCAATTATTAGTTGAAACATGATGTGAATTCACAGTTTATAATCTTAGATTTCTTTAATAAATATTCACTACTGGATACATATATATATATATATATATATATATATATTATATATATATGTGTGTGTATGTGTGTTTGTGTGTGTGCGTGTGTGTATAATGCATGAATTTATTCCATGCTCTATTAATGTAAATATCAAGTGTATATAAAAATGATCAACAACTGCATGAAATTGTTAATAATTTTCTTATTACTGCATAAATTCCTCTGAAAACTTGTGTGTGGTACCTAGATCCAGTGGGTACTAGTACACATATTCCATTTTATAACAACTTTCCACCCCAATAAAGTTATTAACAAAACTTTGTTTTCCAGGGTGGAAATAATTATAAGAAAAATTGTAAATTTGCATATCTCGTTTATTTCAGAAAACCAAAGGAAGAATAAGTGCATATGCAGATTAAAAAAAAGTCTCTTATCATGATTTTAACCTCGTGAGTCCTATTTAAACATTTCATAATTGAATTCAGTTACAGTAGAATGCCTAGAAACCCCACCTTAATGAAAAAATTCTGGCTATAAACTGGAAGGAAAATCTGTTTTATTGTGAGAAAAATGTTAAGGTCCATGGCATTCATAGCATTCTCCTATAGAACCATATTTCTGTTGCTTCAAGTTTCTTTTTCATCGTTGAGGAAATTGTCCAGCATTCGTTGCCATACAAAACCGATATCACATAATAGTCCCTTACTCTTTTACGTGTTTCTTATAATAATAATTTATCTGTCTCTTAATACTCTATTTTTGGATGATTATGATGTGGTTGATCTGGTTCTCGGTCTTTCCTTCTCCTCGACAGGTTTTCAACACTCTGGGGACAATCTGGAGATCATCAGCTCTCTCACTTTACAACAAAATGAGGATCTTCAACACTAACGTTAAGTCAGTCCTGTTCTACGGCTCAGGAACCAAGACCAACACCCACAAAATTCAGACATTTATCAACCAATGTCTCAGGAACATCCTCAATATCAGGTGGCCGAAAGTCGTCTCCAATGACCAACTGTGGGTCAGTACAAGACAAGCCCCCAAGATTGACATTGAGAAATATTTGTCAATGTCATAGATAGAACCTACAAAAAAATATTTCTTGATGTCAATAAATATGCGAAAGATGTGAGTAATTAATTAAGTGACAGAATCTAACTTTCGTATGTGTAAGAAACGATCGCACGAACACAACGGAAATAGGGATTAATTGTCCACACACTCCGCTAGCCTGCTTCTAGTGTCACCAGGCAGGCCCTTGACGTGAATATACAAGTGAAACAAAAAGTGGGTCGACCAAAACATACTTGGCGCAAAAATGAAGTCAGCCGGTACGACATGGGCCGAGCTGAAGAGGATCGCCAGGAACAGCGTCCATTGGAGAGGTGTTGTTGCGGCCGTATGTTCCAGAAGGAATCAAGAGACATATTAAACAAATATTTTGCTTGGCTTTTGGAATGCATCTTTGACCATCCCAAGACCTCTTCGGATTTCAGTGTCACACTTTCAATCCTCTGTTAGAACACATCCCAGATATTTAAATTTCTCTATAGTCTCAGTGATTTCTAATTTGCATTTTGGGCCCATCTATGCTGATCACCATGTATTCTGGCTTTTTGTAGTTTATACTTAGTCTTTTCTTCTCGCTTTCCTTCAAATACACCGACTATACTCAAGCTACGCGAGTTAGATACAGAATAACATTAAGCCTATCAGAAACACATAAACTGGAGAAAATCTAAAACAAAACGTTTGAAAATGTTACCTGATTAAAAAAAAGTTATAATTCTTTCAGAAAATATAATATCTTTTACGTCTTTTTCGATAATTGAGATATTCAGTTATTCGTAACTTTGAATTAACTGAACATATTTTTTTTTCAACTCCCGTTCGTATAATCGAGGAAATACTGTCCTACTTAACGAGACCTTCATATCTATTTATGTATTGTTTTCAGTGTAAATGTTATGATGTTGATTTGGGGTTAGTAGAGACAAACGCCAAATAACACGTAACAATAAAAAGGGTTTTGATAGGTTGGTAAAAAGGTACAGAAATCGCCTGAGTAGTCAATAACTAGCTCAGCTAAGAACTTCTCTGTCTATCTGTCGCCCCCCCATGTCAACTGACATGCCACTATTTAAAGTCTTTGTTCACAGACGCAGACAAGTTCATCTTCAAAAGGGGTGGTAGGTAGTAAAATATTGTTGCATTTTCATTTTAAAATCTCCTCGCGCAAACTTAGAACATTGGTGGACCCGTTGATTACCAAACACATTCCACAAGCGAACGTTGCTGACACACGTAAAACTTTTAAAATGTCACCTCGAAGGCTATACGTGTCTTACTGGCGAAAGATTACGTATTACCTCTTAAAAAAAAATATCCCCAGGGAGATGTCACCGCAGGCAGCACTTCTCAGAGGGAATGCTCGAATCAGTTCCCGGCGTCTAAGGTGTTCCCATAGGGAAATGCTGAGCGAGCCTGTGTAATTGTTAGTTTCATATACGCTTGGCACTCCTACTTTAAAATCGGCCTTGTGCCATATTCGATTTCAATGGACATGAGTATTAATACATAAATACGAAATTTGAACTCGACTGTGTATTGGTATTTACACGTAAATCTGCTACAAAAGCAAAATCACAACAACAACAACAAGACCAAAAAAGAAGAAAATATTACGGATGTAATGCAGACAGACTTCGCTTCCGTTTGGCTTTCGAGACGGTTTGAAACGAACAGCGTTTCAACTGACAGCGCGACAGGCGCACATACACAAACGCGCGCGAAAAATACCTGCCTTCACAGATGAGGATAAATAAATACATAGAAAATAAACAAAGGGATAAGTAAACACATTTGCTATTTAAGTAATTCTGCAATTGGGACGGTTATATATTCGACATGAGAAATCAAGCAGTGTTTATATATACTCTTGTCCTATGTAAGAATGGCATATTCTTTTTTAAAACCATTAAAAAATAAAATAAAAGACCCAAAATGTGCTAACACGATTTGCTCGCAGAAATTAACCAATTTTGAGTTTGCAGGAGTTAGGAATTTTGCATAAGTAATCTAGGAATTGTATGTCTACAATTAAATATATTCTTGATGTAAGAAAGGTTTGTTTTTGGGGTTTTATTTAATCATTTAAACGAAAGAAAATGGCGAAGAAATCTAAAGCGACAAGAACAGTCGCATAGAAAAGATAATATATAAATAAATTTTCAATCTTCTTAGCCATTTAACAAGACAATAAAGCCTTTAAGACACAAGAGGATAGTATAGTTGTTTTGTTTAGGCACATCAATCTCTATGAAACCATTAATTGCCGAAATCTAAATAGTTTAGACCTATCAACCTCTATGGATTATTTAATGCCGAAATCTAAATAGTTTAGTCGTATCAGAGGATGGTTAATTCCGAAATATAAATAGTTTAGGGCTATTAACCTCCAGGGAGTATTTAATGCCATAATATAAATAGTTTAGGCGTATCAACATCTATGGATTATTTAATGTCATAATATAAATAGTTTAGGCGTATGAAGATCTATAGATCA